TGCCCAGGCACATGCACTAAAGTGTGTGGTCTGGTCCTCACATGGTGACAGGTTACTGATTATGGTGCAGGTGGAGCTCTCAGTAACGTCTTTGAGGGCTTAAGATCTTTTATTTCTCTTGCTATTGTAGGTATGTGTCTGTTTCCAGTTTCCTCCCCCCGCCTTTTTTAAGAGATGGATTCTCCCTATAGTGCCCAAGTTGGCCTCTAACTCTGAGGCTTGAGCAATCCTCCCCCCTCAGCCTCTTAAGTAGCAGAAACTCCAGGCAGAAGCCACTCCATCTTCTTTTTTATAGCTACTTTCTACTCTAGGACATCTTGGCCTTTGATCTTCACTATAGGCTACAAAGAAACCTTTTGATTTGATGGCAGCCAAAGCAGGGACTGATTTACAAATTTAGGGCTCAACTTTTCTTTAAGTGGATGTATAGGAAGAGACCATTGTGCTTCTAGGAAACTGGCCCTTTATCAGTGAAGTAAGAGAAGAGGAAGAAAAAGATAGCTGAGTCGTAGTAGCTAATGCTAGTTTAGCATTTTCTATTTGCTAGACACATGCTTAGCAGTGCCTACACCTCATTTAACTAGTTAAAAAAACTATAAAGAAAAAGTACTATCGTTATGATTAAGATGAGGAGGGAACTTCCTTTAAGTCACTTGTGTAAACTCACCCAGCCAGTGTGTGGTGGGGCGGGCTCACTGCAGGTCTCCTGCTGCCTTCTGAGAAGTTGGTGCTGGGCAGAGTTCTGCTCGGGAGATATGGAAAGGCAGATAAAGACCCACCTCAGCTGGGGAACAATTGGCCTGACACTAATTGTCCATGAGAGGATTTCAAGACAAAATGAAATCTGTGCTGTGAAAGGCAGGAGGGATGTGATGACTCTGAGGGTGATACAATGATGGAATTCAAGTTTATCTGCTGTATACAGGAGAATTATTTGATCAATAGGTTATGGAAACAAAGGAGATAAAATATATTTATCCAGTTTATAAAGAAAGTAAATTGGTAAGAACGGGGCAGCACCTTTACATTCCAGTCCTCTGTACTGTTTCCTCTTCTGCATAGGCCAAGTGTAAGAGGAGAGGAGCTGGTGAGAATCCAGAGCCCCTGAGGGCTTGTTCTATTTGTGGAAACAGTGAAGATTCTTTCTGAGAAAGGGTCTCACTCTGTTGCCTGTGTTGGAGGACAGTGGTATGATCATAGCTCACTGCAACCTTGAACTCCTGGGCTCAAGCAATGCTCCCACCTCAGTTTTCCAAGTTGCTGGGACTACAGGTGCACAACCACTCCCAGCTATTTTTAATTTTTTTTTTCGTAGAAATGGGGTCTTTATATGTTGCCCAGGCTGGTCTTAAACACCTGGGTTCAAGAGATCCTCCTGCCTCAGCCTCCCAAAGTGCTTGAATTACAGGCATGAGAAATGAGGCCTAGCCCCGTGAGAACTCTTGACAATCTTCTGTGAGAAAGTAGCATGAACAGAAACTGAGGAGGTTGAAAGGAGGGCAGTTCTACTGATCAGAGGACTGTTAGAAGACACAGCACCAGTTCTAGGAAGTTACAGGACACTTATTGCAAGGTTATTTGGAAATTGTATTTCATGGGCAGTGAATTAACCCCCTTTCTGTTTATTTTAGTATTAGCATTCCTCATGAGATTTAGATTCTTTTTTCTTTCCTGGTTCACCTTCAGAGGAAGTTGTTTTGTTTGATTTTTTGCTTTCCTGCCTCTATCACTTCACTATCCCCTTTGTTGTAGTTTTGAATTGTTTAGACTAGACTGGAGCTGGGGTTTTCTATGGCATCTTTTTATTGTCTCCTTCCAAATATATTTTGTTTCTTGTGTTTTGCATTTATTAGATGAGACACTTATAGCATTCATTAACAAAATATTTGTGTTACTTATGTAGAAAAATGCCATTTATTTTATATATTATTCTTTTATCCAGCATCTTTGTTTTGTTAACTTAATTTTTATTAACTCATAACTGTCTACATTTATGAGGCACAATGTGATAATTTGTTCTACTATGTGGAATGTTTAAATCTAACATAAAAATCACCTCACTTATTTATTTTTGTGGCAAGATATTTACAGCATTCTCTTAGTTGTTTTGAAATGTACCCTTGCCTTGTGTATATTAGGTGAGATCCCACCAAATACCCTCCCTCTACCTGCCCTTCTCCCTTCCTTCTCTCCCCTGGGGAGACACCAGTGAGCTCATGGAAGTTGGACCACACACATGTCCATGAGAAAGCTTTCCAGGCTTGTTTCAGCCCTAAGTCTCAGCTTTCTCTGGACCACGACCTCAGGCTGGTTTTTCATACTCTGCCCACCTGTCTTACCTGCTGAGAGGGAGCCCAGGTCCAGGGCAGCTCCCTGACAACAGGGGAACATTTTTATTTCTCATTATTAGACAAAACCAATCTCTTCTGCATTCTCTGCTGGTTGCAAGGCCAAGAGCCAAGTTGACCCATACCTTTCCCCAGTCGTGCCACTTACTGTTTGTTTCTGTCTCATGAAGACGTATCTCCCTTTTTTTCTTCCCTATCACTGCTGAATGTTAGGAGAAAAATAAGGTGTCGAAAGTGTAAACTCACAGCGTTATTTTTGCTATGAGAAAAGTGACATATTTCAAGTAAACCTAAGAAAAAAGTCTAATTTAAATCTACCTGAGAGAAAATGGGCTGACATGCGAATATAAGTCATAAAGGGGAGGCTGAATTATTATCTTTCAGGGGAGTTTTAAAGAGAATGCCTTCTTTTTCCTTCTCTGGATGGGCAGTTGAATCAGGTTTCTACTAAGTTCCATTTGCGAGTCTGGTTCCACTCAGGGCTGTTTGCATCTGCAGTCGGTGATCCCTGAGGGTTTGGTTCTCTAACTGTTCACTTTAAACCCCTCTCTTGTAGTTTATTACCTCTGTCTATCTTTACTGGCTTCGCTTGTGCTTTTAGCAGCACAAGGTCTAACACAGTCATTGGAAACAAATTTAGCATCAGGTATTTTGGCTTCCTTTTATTTCACAAGCTTTCTTGATATTGTGTGTAAAAAAACATGACTGGAGAAGCTCTGCGTAGATGAGCATCTAAGGGTTTTTCTATGAGTAAATTGCCTAATTTGGGGGAATGGGTGGACTTTCTGACACTTTCATCAACCTGGAGTCTTTTCGCCAGGTGAGCGTTGAGGTATGCCTTTTTAGAAGGTAAACACAGTTGTAAACTTCATTGATGAACAGCTGAGTTTTACATCCCAGCATGGGGGGGGGGTGTCATTTTTCATGGACAAGAAATGATTTTAGATGGAAGTCAAGAGAATTGATACTGCTGTGATCTGCTACTTCTAATTATTTAGTCTTGAGAAAATTATCTGCGTGTTAGTTAATACATTTCCAGGTTCACTGAATTCAATTAAGCAACTTCTAAGGTTTCTCCAGCTCCAAATATCACAAAATCACGTGGTCATTCTCTCCAGGATAGTCAGGCCATGTCCAGGAATGGGTTTAGTTCTTTATTTACAGTCTCTCTATAAAATGGGAGGTAAGGGCGTTAGCTATGGGTGTCAGGCATACCTGATTTTGGAGGCCAGCTCTACCACAGACACCACGTTGATATTAATTTAACCTTCCACATCTCAGTTTCTTTATCTAAAAATGGAAATGAAAATTGTATCTATCTTATAGAATGTCTTGAAGTTTAGATAATTCAATAAAGGACTTTGCCCAGGGATAGCACATAGCAATCAATCAATATGCCAATCATTTCAGTCCTATAAACTTGTTGAGAGTGGCCTTTCTACCTGATTTATCATATTATAGCTCATTTATCTCTTTATTTCAATGGCTTAGTTCTGGGTTTTACGGATAGCACTGTTCCACAAATGCAGTGTTACAATATTATTTTCAAAAAAAGTGACTTTCATGCAGATACAGATGGACGCATGTCAAAAATTTGCTTAACTTTTAATGAGGGAACCAGCAAGATGGTAAAGCTGCTTTGTAAGAGAAGTGGAGGAAAAGAATTATATAATTCATGCCAAATAATTTTTCTAAATTTGAGACAAAACTGATTAACCTCTTATGGGGAAATAAAATCATAACTTTAAAAATAATCTCTTCTTGAGATTTACATATCTGTGGTACAGAAATCTATGTTAACCTATAGTTATAAAATTCTTAGGCCCATGAAACACTATTTTAGTGTGACATTATAAGGATATCTGAATTTCTTTCGGCTATTTCCAAATTTGGGGTAATTTTTCTAAATAGTTATAAGACTAAAACCAAAGTATCATTTATCTTAGAAAAAAGATCAAGAAAATACGAATTTAGTCTGTAAGTATTTATTTTCTGCCTAAACTTATAATAGGTACTAGGCCCACCCCATAATTGTAATTATGTTTTCACAGTGTTGATTAAGGAGAATATAGGGAAATTTAGGAAAATTATGAATTCCCAAAATGATGCTATGAACATTATCATTTAACAAGTGTTTATGTGGGTCATGTCTGTGAAGGGCTTTCTGAACGTTTTAGTTTTATCTGTAAACATTCCTGTGAGGTAGGTAGGTATTATCCCCATTTTGAAAATCAGTTAAATAAATGCGTCTCAATGAGATTAAATAATTTAATCAGGGTTATGTAGCCTGTATAAGCCAGAATTGAAATTGAGTCTGATTTTGAGTCTTGCCCTGTTATGTTACATAAATCTCAAACTCTCCTAAATTTTATAGTACATCTCTGGTTAAACACACAGATGAATGGGCCTAGGTTTACTTATATGAGAGAGCATGTATAAAATGGTCCTTTTTACCTTTAAGAGGCTGACTATTGTGAAACTGCCAGAGAAAAGTAGCCTTTCTGTTCTCTAACCACTGGATTAAAACACACATGTTTTAAAGAAAAAGAAAACTGTTCTGTTTTGGCTCTTTAAAGCCTCCTGGTCTGAGTTATTTTCTTTGTAACTTATTTATCTTTCTTCTATCTCTTCTGGCCCCCGATGTGTCTGCAGGTGGGCTGGATCCTTTCTATCCTGGATGAACTGCAGCTGAACCCTCAGCCTCCTGTGGGCGTCCTTCCTCTGGGGACTGGGAACGACCTGGCTCGAACTCTCAACTGGGGAGGGGTAAGAGCCGCTTGCATGGGCTGCCCTATCATTGGCAACAGACAGAATTCCCAGATTCCCAGATGTTCTGCTGGAAGGGGAGTGTGCTGCTGCTGTCTGAGAATGAGTTAGAGTTGGCAACCAAAGTGCCCACGAACCCTGATTTTATCTGGGAGCTTCTTTAATTTAAACTTACAATCCAGGAAAGAAAAGTTTGGTATGAGAAAAATCTGACGGTTTGTTCATAGGCCTGGAGCTTTGAAAAAAATTTTTTTTAAGTGTCAGAATATTACAGGGGTACAAACATTTTGGTTACATAAATGAGTTTTGTACAGTTTAGTTTGAGTCACTGTACCCCTTAGGTGTGACTTTACCCATCCCTTCCCCCCCACCTGCTTGAGTTTCCATGAGTGTTATTTTCATAGGCATGCATAAGTGTTGACTGATTAATTCCAATGTACTAGTGAGTACATGTGGTGTTTGTTTTTCTATTCTTGGAATACATCACTTCAAAGAATAGTCACCAGTTAATATAAGAGGTACAGGGGTGGAATGGCCTAAAGTCTTCATATAAAGCAAGCACATAGAGTTGAATTAATCCTGACTGTCAGCCTGATTTACAACCCTTTCTTAGGGGGAGCTGTTTTTTTCTGATCAGTGTCATCATAGCTTTTGCTGTATTTAGTTGTCCTTTTCACCATGAGCCAACTTCAAACAAGCTCAGAGTTGGGGGGAGGTAGTTCTATCATTAACCAACCATTTAATTAATTAATTAATTAGTACTAAGAAAGCATAATGAATATACATATATGTGTATATATGTACACACACATATATACATATATATATGTACAGCCTCACCAACTTTTAGTCTAGCATATAATATCATTATCTGGGCTGAGCTTTCTGGAAATTAAATGCAGATGTCTAGCAGGTATTAATCTGGCCTTTTGGGTAGATTAACTTTCTATGGATCTTTTTTTAATAGTAGGCAATTTAGAAATAATAAATGTATTTATCAATATATAAAACAACTAAGATATTGTAAATGTTAGCGTCTCCCATCCAAATAAGTAACTTCACTATCCTAAAAAGGTCATGCTATCAGTCTTGGCTCTGTAAGGAGTAAGTAGCTCCCTAACCGGGCTATGCCTTAGTCAGACTTGCCTAAGGTTCTGGAAGGAATGGTGTCTTCCCACAAGGTCATGGAGAGGTTAAGGAAAGGGAATGTTAATGGAAGAATGTTGCCAATCAGATCCCTCCTTAATTTTTTTTCAGTTTTCCATGTACATTTGTTCTGTGTATTCCTCAAATTCCTCTTGTGGGAGGCATGGGGAGTACTATTTTTTACTCTAATAAAAGCATGGCCCTCAATGTATACCAGTGACTGTTGATTCTTGGTGCTGGCAAACGTAATTTGCTTAGCTCAAATCAGCCTAAGGGGCTCTGTGTATCCTATCTGTGAATATCATCATTTTTTTTTTTTTTTTTTTTGCAGTTTTTGGCCAGGGCTGGGTTTGAACCCACCACCTCCAGTATATGGGGCTGGTGGTGCCCTAGTCCTTTGAGCCACAGGTGCCGCCACATGAATATCATCTTAAATTCTAAGTCCCTTAAGGAAGAAAGTTTACTCTCCCAGCCTTATTAATAACAGACAAGGCAAATATAGCAGCAGGGTTCTTACTTGCATAAAATAGTATTGGCTACACTGTTCTGTACTCCAGATGGCGATGGTTATATTCTCTGATTCTTCAGGGCTACACGGATGAACCTGTTTCTAAGATCCTATGCCAAGTAGAAGATGGGACAATTGTACAGCTAGATCGCTGGAACCTCCATGTGGAAAGAAACCCAGATTTGCCTCCAGAAGAACTTGAAGATGGCGTATGTAAGGTTAGCGAGTTTTTCTTCTGCAGAAAGGAATCTGGAATATTCCCCTGAGCCACAGGAAAACTATTTCTGGTTGAAGAAACATATGCTGATTCCTTCCTATGAGATAACGGGATAGTGTCTGAGTTTACGGCTACTAGGGCTAATTGTAAAATGATACCACCTAATAATTCTGCCCCACAGACCTCTAAAGACCTAGATATTATGCCTCCTTCCAGAATCCAGGAAACTTCTCTGTCTTCACTGTCCACACTAGAAAGTCATGCATTCATGTTTTAATCTTTCAAGCTACCAATAACTTACGAGAAGATGAAAAATATAGCTCTAGGTATTTGACCTTTCAGTAGAAAGATAATCTCCTGAAATTTCTGGCCTGATCTGAAGCCAGAAATAACTAAGCCAATTTTATCACTTGGTTAGGACTCAAAGATGCCTACATAAGTGTTATGATTTTGTGTTTTCTTTTAGTGATTGAACTTTTATTTCAACCCCAAACAGCCAAGGGATATAGTTGTAAATGTGCTACTGTGACACTTCAGTGGATCATTTGGTTCTGAGCTATGGCCTCAATTTCAAATAAATTTGGCAGGTCATTGAGTAGCCACTTTCTCCAAATTACCTTCAATTTTCTTCTATGATAGAATTTTCAAACTTAGCATGCTTAACGAGCATCCTCGTGTGCTTGTTAAAGTCTGATTGTGAGACCCAATCCTCAGAGATTCTGGTTAAGTAAATGCAAGGTTAAGCCCCAGGTACCTTTATTTTCAGCACTGTCTCTGCTGTGATGAATCACACCATGTATTGAGGCTAAGATGTCATGTGTATTTCAGACTCAAAACGGATTGAACATTATAGCGTTTTAAATTAAACCTATTCTCACTTATGTGTTAGCACCATGCTCCTGATCAATTATGATAGATACTTAAGTTTAGTGTTTGACTAAAATAGGTTAAAGCAAGTTTTGCTTTGTCTTTATGAGTTTTTTTAAACCTATGAGTCCAAAATTAATAAGATCTGTAGTAGATGTCATAAATGTGCAGTTGAAATTGAGTTCATAGTGTCACAATGCTGTTTAAACAACAAGTATCATCTTGGGAAGTGATGCTTTTTTTTAAATGTATTTGACTTATGGAAATTGTAGAGAAAACAGCCCATAGAAGGAAGAATACCATATGGATATCTTAAAGTCCTTTTCTTGCTATGTTCGGGGGGTTAGTCCTACAATAGAAGTCCATATTCAATTCTTTTCCCAACAGCTTAAGAAATGGAAAGACTTCTTATTTCATCCAGGAAACATCAATCCCGATAATTGAAGGACTTTATAAATGGGTTTTTGAGAAGATGTGTAGGAAATTGGGGCAAATTCTCTAAAAAATATGAATAACTTAAAAACATACTATATTGGGAAATGATTTAAGGGGTGGTGACCAGATGTTTTCCTTAGCTATCAGTGGACTCGAAGACATGGGTTAGAATTGCAGCCAAAAGAACATAAATGGTAGAGGATATGAACATATCTGTGTTTTTGGCAGGATCATCAACCCATGCTGTCATTTCTAAGAACTGGTATTTTGTTTAAGTACGGGAACTGGACATTCTCAAATACGAAGCCAGCAGAGTGAGACATGATTTTGGCATTGCTCTGTGTTTTCAGTTTCTTTCCCATTTCTCCAGTGAGTTGAAACCATTTCTAAGGGCTGCTTTGGCCCCTGAATCATTATCGGGTGTGACTTGGGGGCTTCTGCCTGGGGTCTTTTCTTACTTCTTCTAGAGGCCAAGACAATCTTCTTTCTGCTTTCCGTTTCTCGTGCTCTTTCTCTCATTTCACTTTTTTCTTAATGGGACAAAGTTTGCCTTCTAGTGAAACAGAAAATCTTGCTGATCAAAGGGCATATGAAACACTGTAATATTGAAGTATTGAGGATTAAAACTCTTTTTTCTCCTAGAAGATAGGTGCAGTTCAACTTGAAGCATAAGCTGATAATTATCTGGAAATTTTCTCTTTCTTTATTGACTTTAATACTTACCTTTCATGCTGAATTACAGAAGGAAAAGGGGGAATAACACTCTGTCCCTTCTAGCATTTTCCATGTGCTTTTCTAATTGTTCTAACATTGAACTGAAACTTTAAAATCCCTTTAGTTTTGCAATTTTAATGTAGGATTTTAGGCTGCCTAGTTCTTTCCTTTACTCAGCTTGCAGCAGTAACAGCCAGAGACTCAAAGGAAAGTCTCTGAAATGGAAAGTCAAGCCTTACACGTGCATCTTTGTGGCTGGGTTTGCAGATTTCATGGTTAATCTGTATAAAAGATACAAGGTTTGATAATTTAACTTAGATACTTAAGTTTAGTATTTGACTAAAACAGGTTAAAGCAAGTTTTGCTTTGTGTTTACGAGTTTTTTTTTTTTTTAACCTATGAGTCCCAAATTAATAAGGTTTCTAGTAGGTATCATAAATGTGTAGTTGAAAATTGAGTTCATAGTGTCACAATGCTGTTTAAACAACAAGTATCATCTTGGGATGTGATGCTTTTTTTAAATGTTTTAGGGTTAGGGTTAGGAGTGTCATAACACTTATATGTGTATTTTGTGGGATTTTCCTCTTTAGGCCAATACTTATATGATAATTTATATGATAGGTTAACACTTGTATGATAGGTTATCACTTATATGATAATTTAAATGGGAGTTTCAATACACTTACATGTGTATTTTATGGGATTTTCTCCTTTAGGGCAACAATAGAGTGTAAAACGGTTCACTGCCCTTTACTATATCCATTTTATAAAAAATATCTTTTTATGTTTTTTTGAAAATAGAGGTGGGCAAAGCAATGAAATATTCATTTTAGGTTGTAATATCCATAGGTTAAATATAAATTCTCAAAAAAATGTAACCACTGATTAAATAGATTAGACATGATCTTTACGATTGAATTTACTTTCTGAAAGTGCTTAGTGAAACATTCTTAGTAACCATTGCCAACATGCATCCCTCAGCTTACCACCTTTCTATTATTACAGCAAGAATAGTTCTTCTTTAATAATTTGTACTTGTTAGTCTTGTTTCCTATACTATTTACCATTCTTGAAGTAGTTACTTGATTTGAATTTTCACTAATGAATTAATTCAAGAATCCCTTGTTTCTACGTGAGCAACTTCTACTTTGAATTGTGACTGATTTGCCTTTGGGGACCACCCGAGAGATGGGTGTCTGGCCTTAGGTTTCCCCTTTCTCTTTCTGTCTGGCTACATACAACGGTACTCTATCTTTCTTTTTCATTGCAGCTCCCTCTGAATGTTTTCAATAATTACTTCAGCCTTGGATTTGATGCTCATGTCACGCTGGAGTTCCATGAATCCAGAGGTGAGGACAACGTCCCATTTCCATCTTCCAGGGAGGAAGTTTCCAGCAGGTGTTTTGCATGTTCCCTTTTGTTTGCATATCACTTAAATGTTTACAGTGTGCTTCAGTGTTGTTTCGTGGTAACCTTTGTAATGACTCTGGGCACTAGACAAGATAGAAACTTATTGCAAAATGGGACTCTGAGTCCTAATTGTTTAGTGTCTCAAAAATAGTAAAAGACAGGACCGGACGTGTGTCCCAGAACTCAGGACTGTTAATTTGTAAGTTTGACTGGAAATTTTCAAGCGAATGAATTTCTAAGAAGTGGTAAAGAGAGACGTTGTTACTAACGTCATTAGAATATTCATAACTTCACAAAATGCTATACAGTTATCAAGTTTAACATTATATAACCACAGTCATAGAGATATGGTAGCCAAAACAAAAAGTCCTTTTTGTGTACATAAAGGAAACAACAGGTATGTTAGAATAAGAGAGGGCCAACAGGTAGTTTAGGTTGAAGGGGAAAAGGGTGTGGTGATTAGATTAAGTAGACAGGTTCTGGGGATCCCCAAAGATGTGAGTGAGACTGAGTAGCAACTTCAAGTACTAACAGAGATAGAGTCAAGACTCAGGTAACAAAATAATTTTTGAATGAGAAATAAGGCAAAATAATGGCATGCTGTTACATATATCATCAAAATTCTGTTGTCATTTCAAAATTTCAAAATGACAAAATTCTATTTGTCATTTCAAATAGGCATGAAAAGAGGTTTAAATGTATAAGTGACCAGCATGAACTCATTCAAATGATTCTAATGTTTAGTCTAATCTGAAACTTGTTCTAATTTAACACTTCCTTGTATTATGATGGAATTTCTATGCATTAGAGTGAGAGGGGAGCAGGGAACGACACTTCGGTGGGAAGACCAGGCTTCGAAGAGAAATCTGTTGGGGAAATTGATTTTTTCCTCTTTATTTCAGCAGTGGGGTTATTTAATTTTAGAGTAGAATATGAACATTTTTGTATGCATGAACATGGGCATTTTTATGTATGTAAATATAGAATAATTATTTAAAAGATGCCAAGCATGAACCTTTGAATAGTTTATGTCTGAGGCTAAGTGTAGGAGTTTTAATTGCAGTTTGAAATGGAATTGCAGATATTTCCCTTGCACTTTGCACATAAACCAGAGCCTCTGAGGAAAATCAGCCTCTGAAGAGCTGATAAGGGAGAATTTATATTGATTGGAAATAACTGATACCATTCATTGAGTGAAACAGAGAGGATAAAAAATACTAAAATTAGATTTGGTTGATACACTTAGACTAGGGGTGTGGACGTTTCCACACTATCTGTTAATCTGTTATTTTTATGTTAAATAAAAATAATTATGTATGAAAGGTATAATTAGCTAAGCTACTGTATATATATATATACACAAACACACAGAGGGTGCAAAAAAAGTATGCACATTTTAAAAAAGAAAAAACTGTATTAAAATTAAATACTCAAGTCATGTTTGACTTCTGCAATTACAAGAGATACAAGATGCGATATAGAAGATAACAAATGTTATTTTTATATATGTAGTACTTTCAGTATTACAATTTTAATAGAGTTTTTTCCTTTTTTTTAAATGTGTATACATTTTGAGAGCACACTCTATGTATCAGTGTGCTTGTGTGTACCTCTGTGTGTGTGTGTGTATCATTGTTTCTGTTCATTTGGATTTTCCCCATATTTTTATCTGGTTGGCCAAGAAGTTGTGAAGAAGTAGCTTAAGCAAGGCGATACTTTTAGGTGGGGGGAGCTTACCTATTTCGTTGGTAGACCATGAGTAGCTATTCTCAAACCAAGAATAATCATAGTTGAGACTTTAAACTGTTCTTCAACACAGTCATCGTTTCAGGCTTCATGAGACTTTTTTTTTCATTTGCCATAAAATACCTGGAGGGTGACTGAAAGCCTCAGGAGACCCACTGTGGAAAAAATGAGTTTGGGTAGAAGAACCTAGTAGGTATTAGTCACGAAATATAGTGCTATACATTGGGAATTCTGCCAATACGTCTGCATAAAATGGGTGATTAATACAAATCTCATTAAGGCAGAAGGCAGAATTTTAAAAAATTTAACTGCGTAGTGAATTTTTGGCATGAACATGAAAATAGTCTATCAAACTGACAGTTCTTAGCATAACTACCTATACTGTATTTCTTTTAGAAACAAGGGCTAAATTAAAACGAAATTTATTTTGGGACAACTAATTAGTGTCATTACTGAAGAAATGCTTTTAGAATTACTGTTGGAAAATTGAGCAGGAGTAAGGATAGCTTAACTTTGTGATTAACTTTGTACATAAGGAAGGCAAACATTTAATGATTTGGGTTTCTATGTTTGATCAGGAAGAAGGTATACTTCACTTGGTTGGCAAACAGATGCTTTCTTAGTCTTCTCAAAGTGTCCAAACCATTCACACACTGTTTAGATAACAGAAAGTACAATTGTTTGGAACAGAATTTGGGGATGTAACAGGATTGGTCACTTAACTGTCGGCTGGAGTCTTGCCCAGGACTTTCATCATTGCTGTATTACTGTTATGACGGGAAATGAGGAAGTGCATTGAAAATGTTCCAATCTGTTACTGTGTAGTCACATTTACAGTGATTACGGTTATCAGTGACAAAGCTGGGTCTCACTTTGCCCGCCACATGAGAGAGATTGTCACTTTTTGGACATGAAAGTTATTAAATGCATCAAACTTTTAGTCTTTAGATTGGGTGATAAAACTTTACTGTCTCATTGAAATTACTGTTTCAGAGACGTTGAACCTTATCCTATGAGGTCAAGGAAATGCAATTATGACTCTAGAGGAAGCAGTATTTAAATTTGATTTAGGAATTGCTATATCCACTGAATATACAGAGACATGCAGATCAGCACGCTTCAAAGGATTATGAATATTCCATGATTTGTATCATAGAGAACTGACAGATTTCTTTTTAAAAGGTATTATTTGCAATGGCTTGCTAAATTTCACTGCTGCCAGCACCTCAAAGGATGCAAAGCTGGGCTCTGTGCCCTCAAGAACCACTAACTGTCTGAGGTTCTCTGAAACTTCTTCCATATGGAATCTCTGTGCTCGAGATGGAAGTGTTCCTCTCTCTGGAACACTTTTCTGATCATTCCCTCTGTGTGTGCTTCATCTTATACAAACTTTCATAGCATATATAAAATTTCATTTTACTTTTCAGTTTTAGACCTATCTCCCCTGCTCTGAAGTCCACAAGGGCAAAAGATCACATATTATTTATTTTATATATCCTGAACCCAGCCCAGTGGCTGTCTCAATGACTATTTGTTGTAATAATGCAATGCTTAATTAGAGAATAGGCCCCACAGATAAGAGATGAGTACCAGTGAAAGGTGGTATATAGCAAAGGCGAGGTTGGCTCTGTAGGCAGCAAATAATAAAGGCACTCAGTGGGGCTGGAAGCAAAAGTAGAAATCTGGGGGAAATGTCCAGAAAGCACAGGGAGTGATACAGAGGAGTGTGACATAGACAAGAAGTAAAGCAGGTGAGAGCATTTCAGGCAGGAAAGAAAGAAGAGAGGGACGTGTAATTAAGGTTGTCATGAAGATAAGTTAGACATGAAATTGATACACAGTGCAACATTACGCTGGGTTAGAGAAACAATGATAATGTTTTTACAAATATTTATCCTCAATGTGAGGATGACATTGGAAAGAAGAAAATATTTTTTAATGTATGCCGTTTGAGTTGAAGGCGGGATGTTCCCAGCGGCATAGATTTTTGGAGTCATCTGTATGCACATGATAACGAAAGACTCCAGATTGGGTTAAGTGTAGCGCGGAGAGAATATGGAAGATGTGCGAGTTATATGCAGTTCAAATTGCATATTGATCTTTATAAACATGTGTTAAACTTATGTTTATGAATATCTCCCTAGTATGCCTTGAGCGAACTGGATGAGTTTTAGCCAAGAAGTGAAAATTGAGCAAAGAAAGAGTATGATAAGATACGCCTACTGAATTTATTTGTGTGTGTGCGTATTTTTAATAATTGCAAGTAGAAAAACTCATCAGTCTGAATGATACATTGGGGAGCCTTGTTTTGCAATATACAGAGTTGGTAAACGTGTATACATAGGAAATATAAGTAATAATTCGATTCTGAGAACCTGGAAATGTCTTTTCCCATGTGGAATGGGAAGCTGTGTCCACTGTCATTTTTTCATTTCACCTTTGGGTGCGAGCAGGTTTTCTCTTTAAGTATCTTACCAAAGGAAATTTTGGCTAAGTTTTCTTGAATCAAGTCAGAACATATGGAATAAATAGCATTTTTAACCAGTCTTTATATATTTTAAAGCAGTGAATTCCATTTGATAAGAGAAGCCTTATAAATTGTTATGTTTATGTAATAAAACCTAAAATTTGAAAGATTCATTTATGTCATGCTTAGTAGTTTTACATTGTGTATGTCCAAGAATACAAATAACACACTGGCTTTTTTAACTACTTGTATATTTGATGCAATTAGGCTTTTCGACAGGAACACGAAGAACACGGGGTTGTTTATCTTTTTTCCATAGACTAAGTTTTAAAAACGTGTGTAATACTGAATTTCCATGAACAATGTTGAAGAGTAGCACTTTGACATTGTACTCGGTGGACATGGTTTGCGATCCATTTATATGTGCCATTCCACATTGTGGTCTATTTTTACCAGGAAAATTTGACTTGTGAATTTTGGCCAATAGACCTCATGTGTCCACCCACTTGGAATATCAGAATGCTGGCTTTGAAGTTGCAGCTGGCCTTGGCCTCAGACTTGCTGCTGCCAGGGCCAGCCACAGGCCATCCAGCTGCTACTTAAGGCTCAGAAGCTGGCTATCGAAAAGTTGTCTGAGGCTCACAGTGAAAGGACCAGAGATTGATGCAGACTGAAGGAGCGGCTCAGGCTGAAAGTGAACAGTATCATCTGCAGAGGGAGGACAAG